TGGAAGTTCTGACGGCACGTTTCTGAAGATCACGTAGTCTTGACCGCGATTACTAGCTCTTCAGCTGGGCCGTAACCGCATTTATGCCCAATCCAACCTACTCTTCTAACCATTAGCTTTGCCCTACAAAATCCATTCTCGAAGTCGAGAAATCTCGCTCATAAGCCAGAATGTGGAGAACCAGAGATGGTAGGTGGTTGGATAATCGACATCCTCTTGTTAACCTTCACCAGATTGAAGACACGGTTCGCGATCAGGTATAGAAGCTGAAAATATGGAGTTGGAAGGGTAGTGTGGCCCGGAGCAACCTTGTACCGGTTTCGCGGCAAAAAATTGCAAGGGAGAGGCGCTGTAGCGCAATACAGGTTCAGTGACGCCTCCTTTTTTCCAGTGACTCCGCCTCCAGACTCCGCCTTCAAGGCCCGCCTTTCAGTGAAAAAACGAAGCTGCAGGACGAAAAAGCATGAAAATCGTCACTTGTACGGTCGTAGAGTTCTTATCGGGAAATCAGCTGTGCGGATGAGGGACGGTGTTGGAGATGGAGTCAGCTAGGTACGTGCAAACCGGGATCAAAACGGGGTTTTATCTAGGGCAGTGACCGTGCTTATTCTGCTTTTTTTTCTTCACTATCTAGTTACACAGCACCTTGTAGTCTATATGCCAACCCCTACTCCACAGTCGTAATTGTGCGATTGATCGTGGCGGTGGGCTTTGCCTCAGAAGATCAATCAGGCTTGGTTGAGACGCGATAGGTTGCATTTCACGGATCCTCTTTGGTACCCAGTAAAGAAGGTATGACGAGGTGTTGGTATTGGAGGTGCAGTCAAGGATGGCCTTTCCAGCAGTATTGGTGGCAGGATCGCTACGCGTCTTCTTGGTTTACCATAGAATTTCGCTCCCTGGCTGCGCTGCCGCCGTCCCCGTTTCAAAAGCGTATCCTTCGCATGCCTCGAGAACAGTTCAAGCACACACAGTTGGTGCCTGGGTACCGTTCGTGATATTTTTGCGGGCCCACTTTTTCTTACCAAAGCATATACTGAAGCAAATACATTACATCAGCTTCTGCGCTGCTTCAATTCTTCTATTCGGAACGCTATTTCGGATCCAAGAGAGCGAGGGGGAGTCAGGTCGGCGGTCTGTGCGAGTAAAAAAAAATGTTTTTCAATCCTCCCTCATCTGTCCAAAGTTTGCCCGGGACTAAGTGCGTTGTGTGTGCGTGTGTGTACTGCTACTATTCCATCTCCACCATTAGCCTCAATAGACTGAAAACACTTTCTCGGAAGCGCACAGCTGCAAATATGCCAAAACTTTCTCATCAACCTAATGTAATGTGAAAATGCTTGGTTGTGAGTGTGGTTATTCAGATATCAAAGAGTTGACGCAATCGCAGCGCATTGTGAATTAGTGGAACGAGCAAAGTAAGCTAATTAGACAGAAGGAATATGACTAACCGATATCAGTGTCAGTGTACGCGTAGGAGGCTAAGTCTATGAGGCACGTCTGCACGTCCATTGGATAATACTGAAAAAAGAATGCTGCAATAGGTTGTTTCAATAGCATAACTGCTATTTTGTAAATCATGTCTGCTCCGGAAGTATCATAAGAATGGAGCTACGGGCAAAAGTCATATCAGACCCATGCGGGTCTCGAACAAGCACCTCAGGCTTCACCTCAGGCTTTCCGGACGAGTGCGCTATCTTAAAAGCAATTGGCACGATAATCTGGTACTTTGGCTGAAATGGTAGCAGGGTACTAAATATGGGGAAAAGGCGAGAAAACAAAGAAGTGAAACGGTGAAAAAACTGCGAAAAAACCTTTTTTCTACATTGCGCGGGAAGTGATTTCGGACGAGTTTCCCGCTGCTAACCGCTACGGTAGATACGGCTGCATGTGTGTACTCATATATCCATGCAGCACCGCAGCCGCTTCATATCTTCGCTTCCTAGTGTACTTCGCAAATAAGCAACAGAACGGTCGTCCATTTGGGGCGAGCGGGAGCGGTGGGCGTCCGGGTCGGTATGTTGCAGCTTGATAGGGCGCTATAAAGGTACCTTCCTTCGGAGAAGGCGCCACGCAGCGCTTGCTCAGAGGCGCCGAATTCAGTCCTGCTATGCGTATTAGTCCTACACTCCCTTAGTCCCACGTCCTCTTAGAGATTTATCGTGCCAACTGCCTTTAACGCCATCAGGGCTCTTACTAAACGTGAGGGGAGCGTGAAGTGCGGGTTGGAGTCTCGTCGGTGGTCAGACTTTTGCCCATAACTCAGCAGTCTTGTGTTGCGATAGTGTTTAGATCCTGGCAACAGTACTCCGAATCGTGTTGCTTGACCAATGGGTGCAGTTGGTGTAATGGGTGGGGAGCGGGGGGGGGGAATTTCAGCTAGTTTGCTAGTTGCTTCAGTTTCCTCACCTTGCTTATGTCTGTGAACTCATGAAAAGTTGTTGAATGGAGCGAGTTTCTTCGAGCCTACTTTACAAGACTTTGCAGGTCTTCACAAGCTGACCTGTACAATGCCACCTCCCCCCACTCCCCACCCCCGCAAGCCAAGCAGGGCGGGTCAATCAGACCATAGAGTGACTCTAGCGGCGAAAACGGCATAAAAAACCGTTTCTTGTGCACAAAATCCACAAGTATATTTCTGTAGTGAGAGCAGATGCGAATATGACAACTATATTTTCTTCTCGAGGTAGGTAAGGAATATGAAGAAATAAGAAGCTGCCAGACCAATCCACAAGATCGTGGAAGTGCTAGAAGAAGAATACATGGCGCACTCTAATGAGACACTAGTATGAGAGGCACTGCTTTACCAGATGGTGAGAAATATAGGTTGGCCCCTTTGCTAGCTTCGGAATGTTCCCACTTATCAAACAACGTCGTTAGAACCTTTCGAAAGTCACTGCATCATCAGTATGCGGACGTGAATCGCCGCCTTTGCAAAATCTGAGCAGTGAAAAAGGGCAAAATTGAGTTTTTTCCGCGAATAGCTGAGTTTTATGAATACATTACTGCACTTCGACGCCACAGTACAATTACGCAAATTTTCGCCAAGTCCTAAACTTTATTCGAAAGGACTTTACTTGTATTACAAGAAAATCGATAGATTAGGAAGATGAAAGAGTTACTGAAACCTGGAACCTTCAACTTCGAATCCGAAATTAGAATCCTATCAAAAATAAGTTCTATGGAGTAGGAAAGTTAACGTAGAATGGATATGCTTCTACTAACAGGCGCAATGTTTCAAATTCAATATTGTTTTCAATTCACCAAATTAGATACTCGAAGTTCTAGGGTTGGAGTCGATATCTTTTGTCACAAAAATGTTTTTTTTTCTTGAAAGTGACCCAGATTATTGAAAAAATGTAATACGTAGAAGAAAGATAGGTGTAGATCGGCTGAGGAGGGGGCGTTTTGGTCTTTCGCTGCTTCCCATTGTGGTGCCAAGCCACCAAGATTTGTGAATCTTGTGAATATGAAGTGATATCAGTCAGAATTTGTAGAAACTACTTGTCAAATTTTGTCAAAAATATTTACATGCCTGTCACATGTCAAATGTCTTGTGAAGCAATACACCAACGGGAAGCAACAAAAGTACATACACCCCCCCTCACCCAACTGCGCCGAAATAACTGGGCTACTAAGGGTTGCGAAGATTCCCATAGCCAAATTTACTCAATTCTTTTAGGTTTTGCAAAAGCTGAAAATCTTCCCGTATTTTTTCTCCTGAGACCGTGAAATTCCCATGAAGACTGACTATTATACAAAAACAGCACAAGTAGAGAAGCACACATAAATAACAATTAGCTCGAAACCTGACATTGAAGATGTGAAGTAATTGTGAAAAAACGCCGAAAAATCACCTGGTAAAAGCAATCTCCCCACAATCTGACAGATATGATGAAATAAAGTTTCTACCACTGCCCAGTTGATGCTATCTGCGGCATTTTATTGGTTCTTGACAGAGCAGTCACCTACAGATACCCACTGGAATGCAATAAAAGCTGTCTGCTCGATTCAGATTTTTACGAGTAAGCCTACAAAAATGAAGTTCTTCATTTCCCTCGAGCTAGGAAATTACTGAACCATACTCTTCCGCAGCAGACGATTAGACGACTTAACTGTCCATTCGAGGAACTTGATGAAACCCAACGAGCAAGTAGCACAAACTCTTATCTAAGATATTCTAATGGGTGGCTCATGAACCTAGTTCTCGCTTCCCCTTTAGCTTCTGTTAGACTTCTTGAAATCTTTGCCAGAATATTTGATTCCGGGTGAAGCGGGCTTCCAGAACTATCCCTGCACATTTGCAGTCAGAATACTTGTGAGGTTAAGCGTGTTCAGCAATACTTGTAAAAGCAGTGTGATTGGTACCCAAAAAGTTCCACGATAAATCGAAATCACCCAACATTTTTTCACACTAGAATATTAATGAAAGCTAACACCAAACATACAACAAAACATAACATAAAAAGACATTTAGAACATCAGTCATTCCGTGTACCGGCAGAAGGACGCCCACGCATTCAAAAGAATATCATCTCGTAAACGCCTCTTCCCAAAGTGATATGTGAAGGCGCACATAGCAACATCAATAACGAACCAATGAGGAATTCATCGTGTGATAATGGTTCAGGCTCATTACTAAACAGATACGCTCATTGGTTCCCATAAAAATTTAAAATACAGATTAGTCAACCTAACTTATAATCGGGACATTCAATCACCAGTTATTTTCAAGTCAGACTGTCAAACTCCGTAGAAGCATATCGTCCTCAGGGCAAAATAACACATTGTTCTCGTTGGAGGCGCCACACACAAACAAATATAAATATATGGGAGACGAAATGAAATTATGTGGAACTTTCTAGACTTTGCGCTGATCAAACCTGGTAAGGTAAGACAAGATGGGATAAAATTCCATCCATTTTGTAGCATAAAGAATGCTTACGGATCCCGAAGGACCGGCTCGCAATTTTCGTCGATTTCTCACACAAGATTCGCTTTACAGTATTTACTCCAAAAATTGGAATTTGAACTTGGAATTGGAAATTGGAATTTCATGCACATCAAAGTAGACACATTCATTGCCCACTTTAGTGAACTGCTGCTGATAACTGATGCTTACAGTTAGAGACAAGTACACCCTTGTTCGCTGCGGACGGTTGGGCGTGTCAGGCAGTGTGAGTGTGTCACCCGTCAAAGCCGTTCTCTGCCTTCTTGTTGAAGCGCGCATGCGACAAAAAGTGGTAGAAAACGAGTAATACGAACGATATGATAGTCATATCATTTGCTCGCTTTAACAACTGGTGGAGAACGGGTTTGGCACCGCGCCAAACTCATCCCGCCTGACACGCCCAACCGTCCGCAGCGAACTACACTATAAGCATGAGGTTTCTTGCACAGTTAGAGGGAAGTACACTCTAGTTCGCTGCGGACGGTTGGGCGTGTTTGTAGTTTGTAATATGGATAACAACGTTAGAATAAACAGTGAATTGACCACTCAAAACAAATATGCTCCCTACTTTCATCCATTTACGTCCTTATTGGAAAAGCGACTACTCTCTAACGTGAAAAATGACTTGTATTCTTTCGATGCTGAGAATAATATCGCATTAGAATTTCCAACATTAGCAATTCTATAGGTGTTCACAGCCACCCAGGAAGCTCGCAAAATCCAGACGAGGAAGAGTACGGTAGTGCCTAATGAAATGGTAATGATGAAGAGCATTAGCTCGCTCACCACTAGGATAGCGTGAATGTCAGTTAAAAATAGTAAATGTGTAGAGGGTTTTTCAGGCTCGCACTTCTCAGCCTAGTAAGAAGGCGGAGGCTGCTCAAACTATTGCTTGCCTTTATCATTTCTGTGGATTAAAGGGCACCCCTAGGTCCGTTGCCTGCCAAAAGTTTGAAGATGACATTCATCCAACACGATATTAAGATGACAAGTCTCTTGATAGGAAGCTTGCTCGACGGCCTATATAGCCCTGTTCGCTGCGGATGACGGGGCGTGTCAAAGGGAATGGGTTTGCGCTTCGCCGACCCGTTTGATTTACTTTTCATTCGGCCAGCGAAAAAAATGTGTCATATCATTCCCTTCAGTCTCTCTCCACCAGTTGTTGTCTTGCCCTATTAAACAACTGGTGGAGAACAAACTGGCGCCGAGCCAAATTCAGCCTCCTGACACGCCCCAACATCCGCAATAGGAAAAGGACAAAAACAGCCGCTGCTATGCCTGAGAGTTTCCGCCCCCACTGTCGTCTTGTCTCTGACCTTGCAACTAACTGCGCCTTGTGATGCAGTAAACAGGAAACAAAGGCCAAGTAGAGATAACAGGGCTACATGGAGCTTATTTGCGGTTTATATAAAAGTACCTCACCTGAAGATGCATCGGACAGGAAAGAACTAACGAGATCCTGACCGAATAGAGGATTTGGCCGTCTTTGTGTATTCGAATTAGCACGTTCGGCTTGTCGATCATGTGCTTCTGCGCCTGCTTCTCGTTCTGGAAGTAACTGCGAGTAATTTAGTTATCATTAATAGTCTGACCTATCTCTAGCTCCAAAGGCAAAACAAGGCAAAGTGCTTCGGAAATTAGGTCAGGGCCTACATCAGTTGGGGATTTTGGTCGAGTCCGTTCAACCCCTAAAAGGTGGCCTGATATCTGCTTCCCGCTCCTTTCCCCATCCCATCACGCCGCAACTTTCTCCCAGAAGACAAAAATGACCCCCGCCCTCTTCCAACAACGAGCAAAACAAACTACAACAACACCCTCCCCTTTGGACACGGGGATCTTCTTTGTTTCGGGTTTTGAGCCCTTCAAGACTACAGTAATGCATGTAAAATAAAGTTTGATTTGCCCTTGTATAGGCACTCTCCGCTGCTTACTGAATTCTAGTCTTGCTTTATTTACCACTTCAGTAACCCGTCAATAAATCATACTCAGCCTCTCCCCATTCCGTTGTACATATGAAGCTTCTATTTGATTGTTTCCGCTTCCTTCGTGAGGTATGGTTATTAATGACAAATTGGTTCAGAAATTGAGAACAGTTCTTGTTGTCGAGTTTTCATATGACATTAAACATGTGAGCCACAGTTAGAAAATCACCGATGTGGAAATCCATACTGATGGGTCTTATTTCATTATTTAATTTACCGTAGGGTTATTTAAGTTAATATAATAGTAATTTCATGCTTTTAGGAGGATGTCGCAGTGCAGGATGAAGCATTACTAAGATTATGAGTTAGACGAAAAATGGAAGAGCAAAGCCAAAGTTTTGACTTTTCTGTGGAACCCAGAACCCTTAAACTAGACACATCTGACGTAACATTAACGTAAAAGTTTACTTTCCTCACTCCGATAGTATGGAGTCAAGTGACTGGGCAGGAGAAAGTAAGACAACGACGCTAATCTGGGAAACATTTTCAGCCTATTCCCCTGTGATATGGTTTCGGGTGGGAAATTGATATGCTTTTGATTCAACGCCAATTAAGCCGCAATTTTTTTTCACTATTGTTTTAGGGAGGGGGTATCCCAAGAGCCCTGATCAATATGGTTGTACGCATTCGACACCAAGTATGAGTTTGCTTTTAGGTTATTTGGCACCTTGACTGAGTACTGACATTCTTCTTGCGCAGATCTAATCTAAGCATCATTATTCATTTCCATCTGCTAAGCGTGACCTGGCGGATGAATCATCCTCTTCCCTTTTCAGCCTTTCAAAGCCTATGATGCGGAGCGACAAAACGAATGTCATATTAGTGATCAGAACATCAAACAACCCTATTATACAAATTTTTGTGAATTTTGGTGAAAATGTGGTGGCGCCGGATTAGACCTTCTCGAGGAGAAATAGCTCCAGCAGTAAAAAAAATTCATATTCGCAACCAGGGCACCATATTAGCTCTATAGGCAAAGTTCCAGCAAAAATAATTTCGGCTTTTTTGAGTTGTAATATTGGAACCCACTTTTTATCCAGTTTAATAACAGCACGCACCCTGGGGAAATGCTCAAGTTTTTGTACTGCTATAGTGCCACAGCACTGGGTTTCTCAAAGTGCTCGGACTTTTCCTCGATAAGTACACGTCGAGAATATTTTTAAACCAGTATTCTAATAAAAAAGAGAGGCAGTTCGTGGAAACAGAGAATTCTAGATTCTACTTCTGCTTTGGGTAACTCGAATGGTCATTCGCGAGAAAATAAAGTGAAAAGCTTACAGTATTAGGCCGCGTTCATACTTTGCGGCAGCGTCCACTAGAAACCAATAGCGTCCACCAGCGTTCCGAACGTTCGGCAGCGTCAGCGACTAGGAAAGCATAGATATCGATCTAGCGTCTGCCAGCTTCCTACAGCGTCTGCAGGGTCCACTAGCAAACAGCAGCGTTTCGAGGACCTGGGAAGTACACATATTCATCTAGCGTTTGCCAGATTTGCCGGCGTCCCCCAGCGACCAGCAGCGACTGCTGGAAGAGAGTGTGGGGGCGATAGGAGGTTGCCAGTTGACCCCTACAACCCCCTATCGCGCCATACTCTCCACTCCCGAACGCTGGCAGACGCTGCTAGACGCTAGATCGACACCTATACTTCTCTAGCCCTCGAGATGCTGCTGTTGGTTGGTGGAGTTGGCAGACGCTGGCAGACGCTGGCAGACGCTAGATCGATATCTATACTTTCCTAGTCGCTGACGCTGCCGGACGCTCGGAACGCTGGTGGACGCTATTGGTCGCTGGTGGCCGCTGCCGCAAAGTATGAACGCAGCCTAACGGCCTGTGCGTTAAAAATAAGAAGAGTGGTCCGTTTCCTCATGGTGGTTAAAAGTATGAAAATGGATGTGATTCACAGTTTCCACAGCGAAGACATCTCTTGAATTAAATGAAATGAAATAAATTGAGGA